CGTCGGCGAGGCTGACGTGAAGATTAGAAAACCTGTAGAAATTACATGAAAGAAGAATCAAGACGTAAATCTACATTCCATGTGTAATATGTAGACACATTACGGAGAAATCTTTCATTTTTCCTTTGAAAATAACACATACCGGGTTCTTCGAATTCATAATAAACCGGTAGGTACCGGTAACTGTCGATATCAACAACCGTTATTATATTAATATACCAAGGAGCCCAACCTGTCACGGCGGGAAAGAGAAGGGAACATCCCGTCAAGGAGGGCCAGTCAGTAATTTGAAACCGCTTCCGATTCGCAAACGCCGAAAAGTGTTTAGCGTGACTTCGGGATCGGAAGTTGGATGAGGGATAATGCCGGAGGGAGATGAATGGCCACGAGGCATTTCGTAGAGAAGGCTGAATATCATTACGACGTAAGGCGGACTTAAGGTATCATTTTTAGCTGTGATGACGGTAGCATTTATCCGGCCACCTCGGCGATCCAGTGGGTCCATAGATATCTTAGCTTGTGAAAATCAGATGCAGAACTTTCCTCCAACTCCTAAGATCTGGAGGCGCCGAAACCTGAATTACATATCTGGCATTCGAGGTATTCAATCCCACAGCCAGTTTTCTACAGCAAGGCAAAATTGCAAAATCATCTAAAATGAATTTTCGATTTGGTTCAAGAGTAATCCAGTAGTTTTGAATGCCACATCCACAAGTAACTGTTCGCACGGACGAATAATCCTTTCTCTCTGAAAGCTGGGATCTCCCAGCTAGTGAATCCATGCTAAACCAAGACTCGTCTACGAAGGTTGGAAGGGTCTATGTACCTCTCCTCTCTCCTCTATCGAAACTACAACTAGAAAATAGACTTTTCTCCAAAGTTAATGGATGATCCGTGTAAAAGTTAGATTGAACAGAAGTGGCTGGGTATTTTGCGAAGAGGGTGTAGGTAATTCTTGAAATGGGAATAATTGCTGTCTGAGGCGGGTTATGTCCGCAGTAGAATCTAGTTTGATGATAAGTGCCTATCACTTACACTGATCTCGTGATGATGCCACTCAAAGCTTCCATTGAAGCGGCCCAAGAGGATGCATTCTGATTGTATAGATCTCCCGCGCACGAATGCATGGCGCATTGATATATATGCGGCCTCCTCTTCGCTCCAATAACGTTGGCTAATCCTGTGACCATAACTTGTTGTACACTGCCTCTTTCCAGCTAGATTCTGGATAGTCATGGTCATCAATCCTTCCCAAGACCTCTCCCGTCTTTATCCCGCATTTCTACTTGCCATATTGTATGGGAATTTGTGTTTCTTGTCCTTGGGAAGGGTCACTCTCATAAGCCACGATCTATGTAGCTGGGTCTAGCCCATGAGCTACTTCTCCTGCATGTTAATCTCCAGGTCATCGATATCCATGGATATAGTATCGTATACTGGTGGGACCCAATCGTATAACATGAGCATGGCGGGCTTGATCTGTCAATCTCACAATCTTTTGATCGGGGAAATCCCAGAGCTTTTTGCTTCTTGGGCACGAAGTACTCCGTAGGTTTTGGGCTCTCAAAAAGAAGTCACTAAACATCTCTCCTGAACAAGGTTGGGATCCGATGCGCCGATCTCTATGGAGAGAAGAACGTAGACCCATATCTGAGATGGTACGGAGAAACGCGCTGCAGGAAACATTGCTCGACCTCTTCTTCGGCTCCAGCCTGACAAGAAGAATAAGCAAGTCTGAAATCCAAAGGCGATTACTGGGACTGTTGTCTGTATAGCATGAGGATCCCATTGATGTGGCAAAACAGAGTGTGAATGTTTTGGACTGATGTTCATAAGGTTGGAGAAGCAGCAGATATGCATACAACCCATATCATAATGAAGAGAAAGGGTCTTGGTTCTTAGATAATCCTCCTGCATAAGAAGTATAAGAAGTATAAAGAGCAGATACCCCATCAGTGATAGTGTCTAGGGCTTGATATGAACCGGCTTGTCGAATTTGGATAATCCGCACTGTCAATCATAACCGTTTTTTCGCAACGTATCTCTTTTCCACAATGATTGGAATTTGGTACCGACATATAACCTTGCCATCTTTGCCGGCTCCGGGGGTACTCGTATATCTATTTAAGCTGACTCCTAATGAGGGTGCTTGGGGCTTGAGCCGACGGAGAAATCCAATTCATCTCGAGTCGTTGATCGTATTTTATCGCAGAGGTAGAAGATGACTGACACGTAGTAGTCTATTACTTGAATATGGAATTCCCAGGGCCTTTCCGGATGCTCATTTAGAAAATCAAAGGGTATGTATGATTTATTATCCATTCGCAATTCATCCTTACTGGGAAATTGTATAATCTGAGTGGTCAGTTACATCTATGGCTCCACTATTCCAAAGTTCGTTTCCATTGTGCTGGGCTGGCTGGGGAGGCGATACGATACGTACTCCGTAGGAGAGGCCAAAATTCATCACCCTAATGAATTCTACAATAAATCAACCACGAATTAAATTATGAGAGTCAATAGTACTAAACAAACCCTGGAATTGCCTCAAGGTATGATACTGTACTGTCTAGAATTTTGATTCTTTGGATTGAAATATGTAGAACAATCGGATTGTAGAAGGGTTTCGCCAGTGGTCAATTCCGGGCTGTCTTTTTCCTTCTCCTACAACTAGACTGGTTGCTTATTGCAACCTTAATTGCTCAGTAATCTTGAATGATGTGAACTTCTTTTTCTCCGTAGGATTCTTGTATGTACAGAATGTACTCGAGTCGTTGGCTGCCCAGGTGATCTGGTCCCTTTGTGATTTTCCATGAGTAGCCGCTTGGATCTTTTGAAAGTCTCCCTTTTAGATAACTGGGTACCGTGATAGAGTCAATGTCAGAGTGCGTAATTTTATTTCACTTCCAGAAGTTATCTTCTGGCCCAGATCTTTGCCGGAGTTGGTTATAATGGCGAAGCAGCTCTCTGTTAATTAATTTGCGTGTGGAACCGGTAGATGTTAGATAGGTACCTGCACGATGGTTCGACAAGTACTCCGTAGACAATCGAAAATAGCCCTCCACACTAATTATATCAATGCGGTCAACAGTCCTTGGGATCAAGATTGCTTTTGATGCTTGAAGTCATGTTTGAAATTATTTTAAGATAGAGACTTTGGCATGATCGTCTCAAAGTTGGGGGTGACTTGTTATGGTTTGGTCATGGCGCGAAAAAAAAATAACGAAAATAGCTTCATCTGGATGGAGTAGGTAGTGAGCAGGTATGTAGCTTATTCAACGAATGACCCACGCTGCAGGTCTGCGGCGTCAAGTGGCAGATATAGTAATCATAGCTGTATCACATCACAGGTCATCATCCAAGGACGGAGATATGAAGGCGGCAGAACTGAATTGATGATTGAGTGTTTAGTCTGTATATGGATGGAGATGGAGCATGAGTATCGTAAAAGTTTGTATAAAGTACCAAGTTCCAACGGCAGTGTGATTTTCATCGGTGAACATCACATCACGGTCTTCACCCCACCAGATCCTATGGAGTAAATGGGAGTTGGAATTGCATCCTCCACTTTTGTCTCTAGTTAATTTTCTATTTATTAACCCGTCCAAACGAGGGAGATGGGTCCATCCATTCCAAGATTCACATTTATTATATTTCCTGTATTCCGGTGCGAAGGATGATTTCATTTCAGGTCTTCTGCTATTCCGATACCAAGGTTGGATGGATTTGCTTCTTGTTGTTTGGGACAGACAGGGACAATTGATGATGAAAGTGGTTGGTTCATGTAAGACCGCAGGTACTCCGTACAGTAGTAGTAGCAGTAGGTTCCAGTCTTCAGCCCTCAGCCCAAACGGATTTCCACCAAAGACGTCCATCGTACATCATCGGTCGCCAGGACACGATTATAGTGCCTGTTATCTGTATGCAGGATGAAACTGGCATCTGAAAAGCTGTAGGATTTCACGACCAGGAGATACCACATTTCTTCAAGCAGACATCTTTTCTCATTCCCACAATTGCAAGCGATCGCATACGTATACTCCGTATAGGTACGATGTATCCAAATTGAATAGCCGCGAGGGTATTGTACCTAATTGGATTGCTTACTACACATCTAGTACCTATGTGGTTAATGTTAGCCAGGTACCACATGATGATTCTCTAGGTACCTAGCATTTTCCTAGCATTTTCCTAGGCAAAGTTAAATCCCAAGTGACGTTTTTGTTTTTGTTTTTGTTTTGGATTGTTTACTTCACTTCTCTGGAAACCGCTTCTGCAACCACCAAACATCTCTCAAACATCACTCCAACCATACTTCATACTTCATACCTCATCATTACTACCTCGATACTCATTTCCAACCTTGCCACTCTTTCCAGCTTCCCCTTGATTACCTACTACTACCTACCGAGTCCAGTCCAGTCCAGTCAGTCAAGACTCAAGACGCCAGACTCATCAATTGATAACGCGACGCTCGTACCAACTCTTTCTTCTTGATGAACGCACCTCGACTCGCCCCAAATGCTCCTGAATCAATCCACCAGTCTTTTCATTTCTTTATCTTTGCAAAATCCAAATGGTCCAGGATGTGGTGGTGCAGGAGACGATATCATTCGTCGACAGATCTAGACTTGACATCTGGTGCATTAGCCCCGGGGATCCAGATCGGGGATAGGCTGACTGATAATGATTACCTAGGTAAAGCTGGGACTTTTCGCTCATTTCCTTAGTATCCATCTCTTAGAGTCTTGGGAACCTTTCCCCCTGGTAATAAATAAATAAATAATACCTGCACCGACAAGCCTTCACGCCCCTGCAAAGCAAAATGCACACACGGAGTACATACGGAGGACATGCAGAGTAGTAGCCAGGTACTCGACGGACCAACCAAAAGTGGCTTACGCTACTCCTCTTTTTGTAAATTTCTCTTAATTGCCATTTCGAGATGAGAATTCAGAATTCTAAGCGGCTGGCGGAATCATTGTGTAGTGTAGGTACATTTACAATTTTACATTACATCCTGCTACTTCTTTCGCATATGCTCCTGCACACTCACATACTCACTCACATACTCACGCACTCACTCACATACTCACGCACTCACGCACTCACGCACTCACTCACGCACACTCACTCATTACAGTATTCTCTATTCCCAGTTTCCAGTTCGCACTTTCCACCTTACCATTCCTTTCCTTTCCTTCCCTTCCTTCCCTTCTCTCCCTTCCTTTGAAATCCTTGCTCTGGCCAGAAGCAATATTATCTATCGACGAATACCTCCCTCCCAACCTAAACCTGAGAGTGAACTGATCGAACCCCCCACCCATCATCACATTATTGCCAATTGGACGGCCTTTTGGTGATCGAGAGCCCGTCGCAAGCCTCCTTCAACCTTCCCATTTTCATTATCCCAACCTCTCAAACCTAATATAATTCACTCGCAATGTTCACTTGATTCATCCTCCATGTGTCGAAAATCAGGAAAAAGACGAAGAAGCTGAGAGCCATGAAGGAGGCGAAAATCCGGGCAAACAATAAATTAATAATGGAGGTCGAGGCGCAGACCCAAGCCTCCCGTCCACCTGTAGCTCGTTCACCTGAAAGTTTGCGTCAACGTCAACGAGATCGATTGTCCCCTAGAGGTCGTTTTGCAACACCTAATAATATATCTACAACCATTACAGAGGTCGAACGACAAAAAAACATTGGCGTTCCTTCATTGTCAGCCCCCAAACCGAGAACCACTGGAAAGAGAAGCCCCAACCAACAGGAGAAGCTGATGCAGGAAAGTTCGCGCAACGATAATAATGTTTACCGTCGGGTCAAGAGAGAGATAGAAGATGAGAAAGGTAGCATCACTCCAGACGGGGGTTCTGCTGGTCGGGAAGGTAGGCAATTTACGGTTGCTAAGGTGGGAAATGGAGGAAAGATATACTTACGGTAAGACAGGGTGATGCTGGTTGATGATATAGTGCTCGTTACCACCACAACGAATTCCATATTTGACAGTAAACAGTACTGACAAACCAACAGCCCGTCAATACGTCCAGCAAACCAACGATATCCTCAGCCATCCTTTGTCTTTCCAACAACACCACCAGATACTGCTGGACCTGATGCTGTCGCGTTTCGCAGAGAGGAGGATGATTTGAGCCACCGTGAAAGTCTTTGGTCACCATCGAAGTCAGCAGCATCGAGTCTGAACCAGCGAATTCAAGGCACAGGACCAATCAAACCTGGACGCGGAAGAGCACATTCGTACTCGACGGTAGATGACCAACACGCACCAGTTACCGACAAGGACGCGGGCGCTTTCAAGGTTATCATAGAGAGACCTGGGACTGCTACTGCCACTCAAAAGCTCGACTTCTTTCAAGGTATTCCTGCTCTTGACGTTAATATTCCTTCATACAAACTGGGAAAACCACGATTCAGCATGCGCGGCACGCCTTTTCTTCGAGGATCTTCCTATACAAACAATAACGATGACATGCGCTCCAGTGTTTTATCGAGCAGAGAAACATCACAGATGGATCCAGCCTCGCAGCGTCATTCGCGAATTTTTCCACGGCGCCATTCTGATTCATCTCCACAGTCTCGTGCTGTCACTGGCCCACCAAGCCCTGAGGACCAATCACGCCCAATTCCATCGCCAAGAGTTGTTAAGCCATCGAGGGCTATCGAGCCCGAAATGTTCGATGCGCTCACCTTCAAGCCGGCTTGTGATCATCCATCCATTGTGCGTTATGGTGAAAATGGAGGCATTAGAGCGGCGACGCCAGCTCGTCTTGTTGCAGAAATCACGTCTCCGACCTTCGTCGATTATGATCTTCTATCCGACTTCTTTCTAACTTTTAGATCGTTTTTGGAGACAACAGACCTTTTACTCATGCTAATCGCAAGACTGCAGTGGGCAGTTTCAAGGGATGATGAAATTGGTACGGTGGTCAGAGTTCGAACATTTGTCGCGATTCGCCATTGGGTGCTCAATTACTTCCTGGACGACTATGTCATCGACTACGAATTGAGAGTGTTATTTTGTGAACGTCTTAACGCATTCGCAAAAGCACTTTTGGAGGGCACGATGCACTCCAAGGTGCCTCTGAAGATAGTGGAGGAATTGAAGAAGTGTTGGCGGAGAGTATGTGCATTATACTGGGATGGGCCTGACTTCGACCCAGATCTTGGAGTTGAGGTTCCGATAGCTGCGGGAGGAGTAGCTGGTTCTCGAGATCCTACTCTTGACCCGGCCTTTTGGGAAGCCCACCCAGAAGGTCCTCCACGCCTTGATGGAATTATTGAGCCCGACTTCATGGAACACGATACCTCCATGGTTGAAGGGCGAAACTTTTTTGCGGATGTTTCTCGCGCAGGCCATATTGACTCTTTCGCCTATAATCCCACTCCTCCAAATGTCAGGGAAGACGATGATCTTGAACCACCTCTGTCTCCTACGAGCATAGTCAGCGAAGATTTTGTATCATGCTCATTTCCTAGTCGAACAAGAGGTGGCGGAACAATAAACCCCCTCGGGGCACATCCAGTCCCTGCCAGCTCTCTATACGATCCTGCCCCCCCTGTAGCAACCACACCCAAAGCTCTTACTGGTAAACGGGTCCGCCCTTCGCATTCACACAACCGCAGCGCAAGCTTTTCTGACTCATTGCGAGATCGCCGAGCACAGCCGGAACCCGAGCCACCTGTACAGAAGGTTATCTATAAGAGTACGGAGCTACTTCTTGCTTTACCTTATGCTGGAAGTTTGGTGAGAGGTAATCTCTTTCCACCTGGGCAAGCTTTTGTCGACATTGTTGCGCCAAGCACTCCAGCAGAATTTGGTCGAGAAACCACTTTGTTTCCCAGAGCACCTCCCAATCACAAAGGCCCTTCGGCGATGTCAGGGCCAGGGATGAAGAGACTCTTAGGTAGCGTACGTCGTGCATTAAGCACCAGAGGAGGACATAGCCCAATAAGCTCTCCAACCCAAGGTAGCTTTCCCAATATGCCTCCTCTCGGAGTTCGAGGGGCAACCGTAAATCGACTTCCTGGTACCGCTGTGGTCCCACAAGCCCAAAAGCACGATTCAATTCGTACACCAATGAGAATTGACCTCCTTGGTGCTGAAGTTGCTGAAGACTTCAAAAAGGCAGTTCGAGAGGAAGAGGAGGCCGATCAAGCTCGTAGATCACGTGTAGTTGAGCAGCCATCGCCACCAATAAGCCGTCATCACGAATCTGGCATTCACTACTCGACTATGTGTCCAGATGTTACCTTGGAAAATTCAAGTCCCGTAACCTACAGGTCACCCAAGAGCGAAGTTACAAATGGAAGCAAGAGCATCTTAATTGTTGATGATACGATGTCATTGCCTTTGCCTATGATGACTGGCGCATTGGCCGTGAGTCCATCGGTCGGCTCGTTCGCTGATACATTTTTGCATCCATCACATGGACCTACGCCACCAACGACTCCGCCAGGCGTTCTCTTCGCTGGAACTCCAAGAAGGTCATCCCATCTACTAGGACATACCGTGAATCGTAGTTTATCATTAGAAGGCCTTCCTTCGCTGATCGGTGACTCACGGCCTTCAAGAGACTATGAGCACCCTCTCGGACCCAGACCGATACCTACACATTCAATGAGACTTCACAGTCAAACTTACCGAGTCAGAAAATCCGCATCGTTGCGTCGTTATGCGTCCTTCCAGAGTGGTTTTACTCAACACCACAGAAGCGAGCGGAGCTTTGATGCTACCACGTTCACAGAGGAAGCATCGATTGCAGAGAGCTTTTCTCGAAATGCACCTATTCCACGGCCACTGCGAGTACTCAGGAGAAGGCCAGGTGGAGATCTAAGGGCCGTTGGTAATGTTGGAGACCTCAATACTGCTCATGTTCGACCAATGTCGACTGGCTCCATTACGACATATTCCGATTCTGTCCGAAGCTCATATCTTCTTGGTAGTGGGGATGATGGCCAATACGTTGATGTAGTCAATAGTGATTATGATGGAACTCAACGCCATGTAGAGACATTCTCGTTAGGGGCACTAGCTGAGATCACGCCCAAAGCTCGTGTATCCTTCTTCGACACCCATTCATCTCAACCTGTGATGCGTCCGTCTTTCGAAAAGGAAGCTCAGATGCTTGCCCAAATTCCAGATGATATCGATGACGATGGCGGCGTTGAGTCAGCTCTTCTGAAACTCGAAGGGAAATTTGAGCAGAGGCATTCCCACACCCCAGGCGGCGAGCTATCTGGGAGGTTTGAGAATGAGGGAAACACCAACAGTTTTGGCGCCAGTCCATATGATGCCCGTAACCTTACTTTGGACGATGAGGAAGAAGGGAAGCGCAGACATAGACAACGAAATGTCGTGGATTCGACCATTTTCAACCTAGCCCCATCTACATACCAGCCTCAGGAAGCTTCAACGAAGGCGGAACGTAGAACTTTTGCATACCAGCCAACAGGCGTGTCAAGAACTTCATCAGTACCAGAGTCAAGTGGTCTCACTGATTCATTTTTTGAAGGTTCTTTCCTTGATGGTGCTTTCAGCGAGAATGAAAGCTACGAAAGACATACACGCAATTGGTCAGAAAGATCGATCCTCGAAGGTCCTAATGAAGGGCGTCAAGGATCGATGGATAATACTCCGCACTCTTCTCATCCTGGATCTTTTGATTTCATAACCGAAACGGAAAGCTTGCGAAGAATGCGCACCGGTGCAAAAGAACATGTTAGTGAAGGTGGCAATCATTCATTCCTCAACATTGACAGTGACCTTTCATCCGAAATGTCTGTGATCTCAAATTCCGAATATACTGAAGAGATAACAAATACGCCTGCTCCAAACTCCCTTGCTTTGAGACGGGGAGCAGGAGTTAAGGAGATGCCCCATTCACCTCAATCACCACATCAACCCCCTTCGCCTCCAATGACCTTGGTGCAGGCATTGAACATGTCTCCTAACACCGCGAATATTCCTCAGGTCCATGATTACCAGCTACAACAAGGGCACTATTTACCACCAACGCCAGACATCACCCCTACTAGTGCCCTTGGATTAGGCGGGTTTGGTAGAGACGCCTTGCGACCCATCGGTACAAGTGAAGCTTCTCGCAAAACGTCTGTTCACCTGCCATTTATTCTTGCATTTGACTCGAGAATTCTTGCTCAACAATTCACTCTCATTGAGAAAGATGCCTTGAATGAAATTGATTGGAAGGATCTCATCGAAATGCGCTGGAGAGATGCTGCCACAGATACTCGCTCATGGGTTGACTTCCTACGCTCTTCGGAACCTCGCGGAGTGGAAGTTGTCATCGCACGGTTCAACATAATGGTTAAGTGGGCCGTGTCTGAAATCGTTCTGACAGGCGATCTAGAAGAACGAGTTCGATGCATCATCAAGTATATTCACATTGCTGTTAATTGTCGCAAATATCGAAACTTTGCTACAATGACACAACTCACTGTAGCCCTGACTTCGAAGGATATCTCCCGTCTCACCTCAACGTGGGCCCACGTTCCGGCATCCGATATACAAACCCTTAACGAATTGGAAGAACTTGTAACACCCACGAGTAATTTTCATAACTTGAGAGCCGAGATGGAAGGCTCCGGTGCAGATCAAGGCTGCATTCCATTTGTCGGGATCTATACTCACGATCTCATCGTCAACTCAGAGCGTCCAAGTCAATTTGCAAGTACGCCAACAACGGAACCTTTGGTGAACTTTGAGAGATGTCGATGCGATGCCACGATCATCAAGAATCTACTTAGATTGCTTGAAGCTAGCCAGCTGTATAGATTCCTTCCAATTGAAGGCATCACCGAAAGGTGTTTATGGATGGCAGCACTACGAGACGAAGACATTGCAAAATATGGAAGATCAATCCAAAATTGATCACTCAGATTAATCGTGCCTCTATCGCACATCCGATAATTTTCATGGAAACAGGCTGGTTGGTTGTCCATCCTTTCTCGATCGACCTAATCTACGAAACTTTCGATCAAGTTTCGAATTCATCAAAAGATGGATAAAACAACAAATTCTTTGTAATAACAAATTCAAATTTTGGGACCTTTTGTTTAAAATTTTGTAATGTGTGTTTCAGCACCGTATTCGAACTTCATACCTCTCATCTTGAGACAGCTTTGAAGGATTCTTTTCATGTACTTTCTCTTTTTATTGGTCCCAAGTTTCTACAAGCCCAGCATAGCCTGCGCGTCACCACGACGGCTTAACATAATATTTCCTTATTGCTATTAAAGTCTGGCTTCGGACTCTTTTTCTACGACCATGACTGTCACGATTTATATTTCATTGGTTCGCTGTATTATTCTTTTTCCTCTTGCCTACCTTCATGGAGTGCTAGGCTTTCAAGCGACTTTGTGGTGTTAGGTCGATAGATGGACGGGTGTATGGAGAAGGGGATTTTGCAGCAAATGTTTCAGGGAGGCGCTGCTACAGATTGGCGAGATTGGAATGTAAATGGAAGAGAGGGAAATACTTTATCGAGGCCCGAGGGGTGGGGAGCATTATCTCTTGTATCGTAATGGCGGATCGGCTTGACCTCGGGTGAAATGGATGAGATGGATGGATGTAAAAGATGAGCGAGTCGTATACCCCTTTGTGTGTTACTTGTCTGCTTGCGAGACGGTCAGTTGAGTGGTAGTGGTAGAGTAGCTGGAGTGGCTAGATGAGATATCAATGAACGAAAGAAGAAAGATTTCGATCTAACTATGCGATCCTCATGTGAACTTATCAATCATCATCTAACCTTTGAGTGACATCCAATGTATATATGTATTAGGTTATTAGATGATGCACCTTTTGGAATCCAAAATTAAGCATAACTGAATCGAAACTGTATTACACATGCTGGAATTCCCGCTCTCATTGAGCTTTACATAATTGAACATCCCCCATCGCTTAGCCCACCATCACCATTGGAACCCGCTTTTCCTCCCCCAGCAGCTAGAACGGCGGTGCGGCTAATATCTTCCCATACTTCTGCTACTAGCTCGCCGGTCATGGATGAACATCTGATGAGATGTGCGTTAGTGATTCGTTGGGGATGGGTAATATATGTTGCGTTTCTGCTTCGCGTTGAGTTTGCAGGAGAGGGGAAGAGAAGGATGGGTTATTATGAAATATCAAGTATCAAGTATGAAGTATAAAAGAGGAAAGGCAAATTGAGAACCACGGATGAATAAAACTCACTCCATATATCGATCGCATCTCAATTCCTGCGCAATGCGATGACCTTCTTGCGGGTAGATAATCCCATTTGGATCTTTTTCGGATCGGAGATCGCGCTTGAGAGCGAGGAGGAGGACGGGGAGCTCGTATTGGAAGGCGGTTTGGAGTTCTTTGGCCCACTGTTTGGGGGGTTAGTTTGGTTTCTTTTGTTGGTTTGATGTGCATGTGGTTCTTTCTGTTCGTGTGTTTGGTGATGTGTTTGTGTATTCCTATCCTTCGCATGACTTTTACTCATTTACTTGTCACGGGGATGTAAAATTGACTATGAAGGAAATTAACTATACGATACATACAAATCTTTGTAGATTAATCAAACTCAGGCGATTCGAAACGGCATAGCAGAGTACGACAACATTAGGTTTCAATGTCTTCCAGTCGGTAGGCGAAGAGGTGTCGTAGAAATTTAAGCGGTAAGGGATGTTGGAGAAGCGAATGCCGAAGGTAAATGGTTGGTGGGAATCGAGGAGGAGATGGGCTTGTTTTGAGGTGGCGGAAGGGGAGAGATTGGATGGGGGTTGGCTAGAAGGGAGGATAAGTTTAGGTGTTTGGGGTGGATGGGGGAGGGGTGGGAAATCTCACGATAGGAAGGTCGATTTGCCGACTTCGGAATCGCCCAGGAGTAGAACTGTTGTTTCTATAGGAGGGGGTCCTAGTTGGGTGTCATCCATGGTTGATTATATGAATGCGTAGTTTCATGTTTACTCGAACAATGAATGTGAGTTGGAGTAGTCGTTGTGGAGGAGAGTTGATAGGAGTGCAGAGGGGTAAGGTTACGATAAGCGATAAGGAATTTACCCCTGCTGCATCTAAGAGCTCATTGGCCCGAAGTTTCATGAGTCAATAAAAAATTCGGACAAACAATATCATTGAAGAAAATCTCATGATTGGCTTTCATGAATGTTCGTCCGGAAAATCTGTAGAAGAGAAGTGCTTTTGATACCACAGAAGCGTTTACGAGCTTTCTTCACAAAAGACAATTGGATTCCCGACGCAGAGAGAAGTGCAAGAGAGAGAAGATCGAAGAGGATGGGAGGAACGACAGATTATAGCGATTGGTCGCATGAGAATTTGATTAAGAGAGTTACCCAACTAGAGAAGGAGCTTAAGAGTAATACCAAAAGGTACTGATCAGTCTTCTCCCAATCCTCAGAAATCAATATTGATCGAACCCCAGCGTAACCACTCTCCCCAAACGAAATCTCCAGAAACCCCGCCGCGAACGCGATTTCGACCCCTCCAAATACAACACTCGACTCATAGCTCTCAAACTTGCATATTTGGGGAAACGCTACAATGGATTCGAACATCATGCACACCCAACACCTTTGACTACCATTGAAGAAGAATTGTGGCAGGCGTTGAATAAGGCTCGTCTTATATTTCCTCAGGGGGTTAATCCTCTGGCGCCGGGAGAAGTCAATTGGGAGGGATGCGAATATTCGAAATGTGGGAGGACGGATAAGGGTGTTAGTGCTTTTGGACAGGTTATTGGGATTAGAGTGAGGAGTAACCGACCACTGCCTAAACCGAAAGCGAGGTCCACACAAGAAGAATCTGTCGAGGGAGAAGCTGGTGAAGAGGAAGATATGTATAACACGTATCCGAGGGAAAACGGCATCGAAGTCACATCTGCGCCGCTATCTCCATCTGCAGGCGTTCCAGGACCACAGGGTTCCGATAGTGGAACGTTCAGTTTGTCGGATCCAGAGATTCAGGAAAGCCTTGATTTTGATCATATTACGGATGAGATACCTTATCCACAAGTTCTCAATCGTCTTCTACCGCCTGATATTCGTATATTAGCATGGTGTCCATCACCACCTTTGGATTTCTCTGCCCGCTTCTCCTGTCGTGAACGCCGCTATCGATATTTTTTTACTCAGCCTGCGTTTTCGCCTATTCCTTCTCAGTTGGAACATGGTACATCGGCTAGTAAGATGAAAGATGGCTGGTTGGATATCGATGCTATGAGGGAAGCGGCGAGGTTATATGAGGGGTTGCATGATTTTAGGAACTTTTGCAAAGTGGATCCGGGAAAACAAATCACCAATTTTGAAAGGAGGATCTTTTATGCGAATATCGAAGAGGTAGATGATTACACAAGTTCGCTGGCTTATGTAAATGGGGGTTCATTCCTAGATGAATCAGTTCGTTCCAAAACGGACGGTGAGAGTAAAGCTCCTAAAGTCTATACTTTCGACCTCCATGGATCGGCATTTCTCTGGCATCAAGTACGTCACATGGTTGCGATTTTGTTTCTGGTAGGACAGGGCCTAGAGAAACCTTCTGTGGTCTCGGAACTATTGGATGTGGAAAAGAATCCAGGGAGACCTACTTATGAAATGGCAACCGATACTCCACTTGTTCTCTGGGACTGTATATTTCCCCACGAAGACGACGAGTCCCGAACTGACGCTTTGGATTGGCATTACATAGGCGACTCTCCCGGATTCTCCGAGGGGAAATTCGGACAAGCTGGTTTGATGGATGATTTGTGGAAAGTTTGGAGAGAACGCAAGATTGACTCGATTCTCGCGGGTGAATTAATGGGGATTGTCAGTCGTCAAGGAGTGGATGCGAGTGAGTTGAGTGGAGGTAAAGGGGGAAAGGGAAGGAGTCAGAAGGTTTTTGATGGGAGTGATAGTCCGAGATTTGCGGGGAAGTACACAAAGGTTATGGATAAGACGAGGATGGAAACGGTGGAGGTGGTCAATGAGAGGTATGTGGTTAGAAAGGGATTGGTGGCTAAGGATCAGAAAAAGGGGTTTAAGAGAATGGAGAAGGAGGGAGAAGGAAAGAAGGATGGAGAATAGTATTAAAAATGAGACAGAAAGAGGAAGCAAATTACACATATCAATTTAGATATACAAATCTCAACACAACTAAAATGCGCAATCAGAAATCAGTTTGAAATCTTCAATTTTGTTACACTATGCCATGTTTTCAATTGTCTAAATCTACAAGGCAATTTACAACTCGGCTAGAAGACTATTTAGGTGTAGAAGGATTGTATTTCTATAGCGCAGCACTTCACTGACTATTAGAATTCTGCTCACCGCACCGTTCCTACGGAGGTAATGATGTAAAAACAAAAAATCAATGCCCGCTAAGCTTTGTTAAATTGTCCTTTGGGAATGTACTGATGAATCTTGCTTGTAGTTGTAGTTGTAGTTGTAGTTGGAAGTTTACAGATAGTATCTTTTTTAATTGAATTCGAAGAACTCGCTACAAAGAAATGGAATGGAGATTTTGTATGAGTTGTTGTACGATTAAAGCATGCGGAGATGTCCAAAAGGGGCGTTAACCCCAACGCTAATATTTGCCGAGCGCGAAGATGATATCATTCCCTAGATCATAGATCATAATAGAATATTACTTCTAGACCACATCAAAAGATGAAGATCAGTCAACACTACCGAATTTTTCGCGAGAAAATACAATTATATAAATGCACATGTATATTCTTGAATATATGTCCGTGTATTTCTGATTACGCTTCCACTCCCTACTGCAACAAATCTCATCGTTCCCGCGCCTTGACGGTAACCATCAAATCCGGTTTCTCCCACAAGATGAAAACCTTCTGCTCATCCCAATTGCGGCTTTCCTCGCATAAATTTATGTCGAAATGCCACAGGATACGCGCGAGAATGGCCCGCATCTCTGACATTGCAAGATGCTAGTTGATAGTTAGTTAGTTATTGCCATATCTCATACCTGGATGTACTGCACACACCTGTCCCAAGCAATTTCTAGGTCCCACGGAAAACGGTTGTACTACACCACGCTTGTCCGACGCAAAATGTGGATCCGAAACTTTATCATCGAGCCATCTTTCCGGTAAAAATTGATCTGGAAGTGCGAAATTGGTAGCAGAATGATAGGCACTCCATTGGTGGACATCGACTGATACCTTAACATCTAGTCAGCTTTTGTCTTTTTATCAATGTGCAAATTTACTCACGTCTTCGGGGATAAAGTGACCATTAATAACAACACCACCGGGTTGTGTTCTTCGGGGCAGCACTCCTGGAACTGGGGGGTAGATGCGAAAGGCTTCTTGTAGACAGGCATTTAGATAACGCAGATTAGCAAGTTTTACAAATGTTATATTGGCGGACTCTTCAAACGACGAACGGATCTCTTGGACAAGAGATGCCATACACGAAGGGTTCTTCAGAAGATGAAAGATAGCGCCACTAAGTAGCGTAGCTGTGGTTTCACTCCCAGCTATAATGAGCGTACCAGTAGTCTTCATAATCTCCGCTCTCGTCATCCCTTTCTCGTCGTTGTGACGAAGAATATAACTATTTGAGCTAAAATCAGTACTATTGATATCATGTGAGTATAATGGGGGCTACGAACCTCATAAAATCACGTCTATCGGTAACGGTGTCTAGACGACGAGCAATCTTATCTTGCGTGTATTGTATGTGTCTCTGTCTCGCCTTCTGCAGTGCAGGAAACAGCGTTAACAAAGACAAAATGGGCATTCCAACCAGGGGATACGCACGCATGACGCGGAATAGACGTGCGAACTTGAGACCCTTGAAGATATTGGCAATCCAAGAATTGTATTCTTGGGTGCGGAGAGCATTGAAAGATTCAGCAAAGCATAGATCGCCGATCAAATCGAATGTTGTGAAGTTGAAGAATCGGACAATGTTCACTTTGCCATTCGAGGGACTGTCGATTTGCTCGTAGAGTTTCTGGATAAGAAGGTCAAAGTACACGTTCATTAGAGGCTCTTGTTCGCGAAGAGAAGCTTCCGAGAAGGCGTGGCTTAGTGCTCGTCTGATACGAGCGTGGTCTACGTCGTTGGATGCTGTTTTTGTCAGTGTAAATCCTTCCTTGAACAATATGTGAAGTATTAACTTACAGATGATGTCTGCAACCCCGTCATTTCCAGAGAAATATATTTCCTTATCTTTTGGGATAGGCTTTTTTCCATGACGCTGGCCATAGATTTCTAAACAGAAGAGTAAGGACTGGTTCTCACTCAGAGCATTTGCTAGACTATACCTTGCCAAGCTTCAGAATTGTTGAAAGATACTGTTGCGGGAGATATTCGAACAGTATTTCCGTAAAGATCATGTAGCTTCTTGACATTTGCCACCCCGTCACCTGTCCAAATCTCTGTGGATTCAGTTTGGTTAGCAAGTTATTGCAGGGTTTGAAGAGTCTATGAAGTGATTGATAATGAGAAGTGTTTCACTTGCCCCAGTAGGTTGGAAAGTAAAAGGCACCACGTAACTTGGGTCCGGGAATCTTAGCAAGAGGATGAAATGTGATGTTGTATAAACCAACAATTGCATAACAAGCCACATACTTGAATTTGGTCAGCCTGGGTAGTAACGGGGCCCGGGGACGACAGATTCGACTTACAAAAATGCAAAGAAATAGCAGAACTTCGGAAAAATGAAAGGTTGCCATCATTGTTCTAGTTAACAAGAGATATCGGCGACGAAAAGGTAACTTTGCAATTATTGAAAGTAGTAAGATTGCTTCGTGGATAAGCTACCAACAAATTTATGGTAAGGTGATGATTCACAAGCGGGTGATAGTGAAGACATCCGTATTGCTTCGCCGCAATAGCTCGGCATTTATAGAGTCCGCTTGCCATCAGGCAAGATTAGTAAATTCCCAACGAGATGGAATACTGTCACACAAAAATGGCCTCTAAACTAGTGAGAATTTTTACATATGATTGAGAATTTTCAGTGCGCGAAGGGACTGACAATGGAGCTCGCATACGGCAAAACGAGCCGCAAGATTTTCATCTGAAAACTTCAAATTGGTCGAATTATTGCCCATAACTAACTATCAACCAGGCATTCCTCTCCATCCTGCCAACCTATTACCGGAATTTGACCAGGGTAGGTAGCAAATAGACTACACTGTTCATACTCTTAGGATCAGCAGTATCACTAATTGTTGTATTAGTTTCCAACTGCATCCTCCAACATCGGTGATAAATACAAGCTGTGTCGAGATAACTTGTTACAGACGCATACAAATGAACGGGTAAGGTTTGAAAACTCTTGAATTTGATTCTATTCATTAGAAATTGGATAGGCCTAAAAAATGAATAATGAGACTTAAGCTCTTTTCACCCAAAAGATGATCGCAAAGATTTAGCAACCGACCCTATTCGAGGTCAGGCATTGCCAGAAAGGCTACTCTGAACATCTAATCCCTCTCGAGCAAAAACATCCATAATCTCCTTCCACAACCTCTTTCCTAACTCGGTTCCTTGCTCACTACGAACAAGCTCTGACTCAAGCTTTACTTGCATTTCACTCAAGTATCGTCCATGTGTTTCCCGAGGTCCTGATACCGCCGCATCGACTAGGCATCTAGCACCATCTGGAGCCGACCTGCCAACCAAGATCATTGAAAGCTTAACGATAAGGCCCATGATACCAGAAGTTTGACTCATGAGTCCAGTCTTGCAAAATCCGGGTGTTGGTGCATTGATGATAACTTCTGAGCTTGCTACTTTATTTGCAAGTTCTTTGGTCCATAAGAGGCTAATTGCTTTGGTTACTGGATAGCGATCCGACTGAGTGTACCGGTTTGCATCATTCAAGGCAGCCAAGATTTCGCCCTGTGGAAGGTCTTTCTCCGGAAATTTCGCCATTTCATGAAGACCGCTAGAAACAATGCTCAAATGAGGTTGAGGAGCATCGAAAGGGCGAGTGGAAGACGCAGCAACTCGGAGGTTCGGAAGAAGCAATAATGAGAGCAATGCAGGAGCAAGAGTGTTGACTTGCAAGTTACCCTCGTAGCCGTCTCCAGTTGTTGTGAATTGTGTATTCCATGTTCCTATAGAATGGATTAGTTCGAAGTGTCAGATGTAGGAATAAAGTCCTCCATACCTGCATTCAGGATTGCTATATCAACGCGTTGACCTTCAAGTCCTTTGACAAAATTCTGAACGGAACGAAAGCTTGAATGGTCCAACTTGTGTACGTCAATTTGAGTGCTTGATGTCGTTCGATTTTGAAGCTCTCTCTTTGCGATATTACCTTTCTCAATATCGCGAACGGCAAGGATTAGACGCTCGGGTTTGGAAAGAAGAACTTCACGAGCGGCTTCTAGTCCAAGTCCAGCATTTGCGCCTGTAATCAAGACCGTACTCTTGGAAAGGTTGACAGGTTTGAGTTTAGGAATCTTGGTAAACTGGGCTCTGAGAAAATCCATAATGGCAATAGAGAATGATGGAATTGTTGGCTGGAACCGATTGTAGGAAGTGAGGATTTTTTGGCTGGAACACGTTGTTCAGGAAGTGGGTTGGGGGCACAGCTGCATGTTATAATATCTGATCACCAACCGAACATCCTGCGCCCCTCAATATTAAGACCTCTATTCACTCTAATCATGCCATGTAATTCCAATAAGTATTCACTAAGGTTCGGTGCCCATCCAGACTTGATAGGTTGAACGAGTGACGGTGAGAGGTCAGCCTATCATTAAGGTCTTTTCAACCATAACTTATGCCAGTATTAGGTATGCTTATTATATTGGCGCTATGATAGTGATTTAAATGATGGAGATAATGAATCGCGGAAGTTACGATCTCATAGATGTGGTGCTGTAGAACTCACTTGAAACTAAGGTTGAATCTAGTTGATGAGAAGGTTTGAACCTCACGAACTTCTTTTGTCGCCCTATACACAACAGAAAATATGGACAGACGTTGAATTAATAAGTGTTTTAAAGAAACCCGTCACAATTGTTTCTAATTCATTTTACACTTCAACTCCAGGCAACTTCAAACTTCCTCGTATGAAGTCTCGATTGCACTTGCAATTTTACTACCAAATTATGGCACTTCTCGTCTAAGCATTATGAGAAAACTTGTCGAAAGGATTGGGCTCAATGGATGCTTAATCAAAACATTGTCTGATATACTCTTCGGCTCGTCTTATCATCTATCATAACCCTATCTATCATATCCTTATCCAATGCAATCCGATTTTCTTCCTGTATTGCCCTTCCCGCCTATTCATTATGGTTCCATCTCAGTCTATCTAATCCCTCCCACTAGCAATCAACTGTTCCATAATATCCGCAAACCTGGCTGGTACACTACCTCTCTCCTGCTTAGCCTCCCCAACTGCCAAAAGCACCTTCTTAATACCCACACCTACACTATCACTTTCCGTGTATTGTTTTAGTTGATTCAAGGACTCTTGCAAATCGCCTTCATTGTCGAACGCTTTAACTTCTCGCAAGATAGTTGCTAGTTCGCTAAAAGTATTGACGTTGGGCACTGCGAGTTCACGGTTGAAAATGGGTTGGAGATCAAGTTGTTTGAGGACACTGCGTTGAGATGTAGTGCCTATAATCAAGAGACGACGTTGCTAGAAAGTTGTTAGTATCATGGTATAGATGAGAAAATAGAAAACTTACATTTGGTGGTTGCTTAGTGAGCAGAACCATAAGGGCTTGTAGTACCGCATTTGAGAATCGGGGACCAATAGGAACCCATTCGATAATACGCTCAATATTGTCTATAACAACAATGTTTTGAGGGGATTTGTATGCATCCATAAAGACTTTGTTGAGATATTGAATTTTTTGTGCATCACCAAATCCAACCATATTCTCGGCGGAAACAAGCTTGATGAATGGAAATTCTGAACTTTTGGCAATGGCTGCTGCGAGGGCAGTCTTTCCAGAACCAGGGGGTCCATGAAGAAGCACTGAGAGAAGAGATGTTGTTTGTGACTGTCTTACGAGATCTATGAATAGACGACCATCTTTGAGAATGGTATCAATATGCCTGCTGAAAGGCAAGATACCTGCTGCCATGGCACCTTCAAGTTCTTCTTCAGACACACCGAACGCGGCTTTGACTTCGTCAAGAGCATGCATAAAATCGCTTCTGTTGACCTTCATATTTTCGATATCATCGCTAACACCTGCTACGGTGCCAACTTTAACGTGTCGATTGAAAGCAAATGATGAAGCTGACTTGACGAGACCACCAATTTCAGCTCCCGAGAAATTCTTGGTTAGATGAGCGAGTTCAGCAACATCGACATCTGTATCCATGACATCATTCTTTAACATCTTTGAAGTGTGAATCTTAAGAATTTGTGCTCTGCCGGCTTCATCTGGCAGGGAAATTTCCATGTGAACCTCCAAACGTCCAGGTCTGAGAAGAGCGTCATCAATCATATCCATTCGATTGGTCATTCCAATAAGAAGAATATTATTGAGCTGGTCAACACCATCAAGCTTAGACAACAGTTGATTGACTACACTGTCGCCAACACCAGTTCCGCCACCTGATCCGCTTCCTCTTTGTTTGCAAACGGCATCCAATTCATCGAAAATGATGATGTGAAGACCACTCTCGTCTCCCTTCTCCTTGTACTCCTTTTCGGCATCGGCAAAAAGCTTTCGAATATTTTCTTCGGATTGACCAACGTATTTATTAAGTACTTCGGGACCGTTTATGACCTTTGGCTCTCTTGAATTCAACATCTTTCCAATTTGACGAGCAATGAGTGTCTTTCCAGTACCCGGAGGACCAAACAGAAGAATACCTTTCACGTGCTGGATGCCCAATTTCTCGATTAAACCAGGGGGGAAAATACGAGAAGCGAAAGCTCTTCGGAAAATAGCACTGAACTCAGTATCTAGACCACCAATACCCATATTTTCGAATTTAAAATCCGGCGCAATGATAGAATTAGCGGCCGGCCGCTTACTCGATCCCTTCAACTTAATGGGGGATTTTGAATCCTTATAGAATGTGATAGGAGTCGTTCTAACTAAAATACCCCGAGCTTGTGGAGCGCTGACAGTTGGAGACGGTTCGGCGTTTTTCTCCATGCTCAAATCGGACAATTGGACAGTTTTAACAAGAAATGACAAAGGGACATTTTTGTGATCCATTAGCAACCTTTGGCCAGGTGCAAAGACTTGGTTCTCGAACCACTTAATGAACACACTAGCCAATTCATCTTGGTCGTAAGGTACGTCTGTAAACTTTTTCGCTGAGGCAAATCCGACTTCGACGTCCAGAGCACCAAGGTAAGCCTGTGGGCCTTGGTAAAAAGGATCGTATGTTTCAGCGTTTATTCTATCCAGCATTCCGACATTACACCAAGTTCGTTGTGGATCCGATAAACTTATACATCCTGGAGGGAAGCCATCTAATGGCCTTGCAGTAACAACAAACATGCCATTCAGTATGAGATATATATCTGATCCGTCCTGGTTGGGTGGAAAGTCCATGGGGCATACAGCGGACCTTGTAATAATGTTAACACACGCACTGCATTATGGTTTTACCGTAAATACTCACAAATTGCCAAAAATGTATTGATTCGCCTTGGTTTTATCTTCGACTTTGGCGATACTGAGCTGTGCTCTTCGGGGAGACATTGGGCCTCTGCCACCAACAGGTTGTCTCATCGGCA